CCAATTTAATTAGGATGATCACTGGAATCCTGACAGCAAGCCGATTCTCTTAATTAACATTACTGGGGTACCTGAGTCCCAGCCTCTCCAATAGCTCCCCAACATCTGGGATTCATGGAGAGAAAGGCAGCCATGGCAGAGGGTGGGCTATTGGAAAAAAGTCTACTCCAGGCAACCCAAGGAGAAACAGACTTGGCCTACAGCCAGAAGCAGACAGAAGTTGACAACATAATTGCAGCTAGAGGTCAGCCCCCCCCCCTTGAATTCCAAAGTGGAGAAATCTGCTCCAGTAGAGGAAAGAAAAACAGATGAGTACTGGTGGCAAAAGAAAATTCCTAAAGGCTCGAGGTTGGGTTTACCCACCCCCATACCCAAAAATGGGGAAGGCCCCTGAGTGAACTGAGAAGAGTTGATTGGATGTGGAACTGGGCACAGACCAGCGCCCCAAAGTCCCTGATGGAATCCCTGGGGAGGTCTATAGAGCAGCTGAGGGAGGAATTTGACCAGGTCACCATTCGGGATGACGGCCCGTCATACCATCCAAAACAGAGGGGAGTTTTTATAGAGCCCTTTGAAGTGAGGAGAAGGAGGCAAGACCACAGCCCTCCTTCTCCACCCACCAGAAGAAAGAGGAATCCAAAGTTGCAGCCAGTGCCTTCCCCACACAGCAGGTAGCCCCCTCCCTCTCTACAAAGTGGAGCTGGGGAAGGCCAGCCACCTCAAGCTCAGGCTTATGGAGGGCAACAGGAGGAAGGGGGAATAGTGCTCAATGATCCACCCCGGTTCAGGAAAATATTTGATGGGCACCCAGACCAGCTAGCTCTATTCCTTGACTCAGATGAGATCCACCAAGAACACTATGGACATCTCTACCCATCCCCCAGAGCCATGGTGAATACCATTTCTGAGGGGCTAGAGGGAGAAGCCAGAGGATGGCTGGCAACCCTCCACAAGAGAAGGGCCCCCCAACTGCAGGATATAGAGGCCAGATTTGAGGAGGCAGAGGAGGACCTGTATGCTGAAGATGAGCTTATCAATCTTAAGCAGGGAGCACAGCCCATCAAGGAACACATCCGTGAATTCAGGAGAATCAGTGGGAAGCTACCTCTTTTGCCTGACCAGATGCTCGTCCATTTTTTCAGAACAAGCCTGGACAAGCAAATTAGCCAAGTAACTGCCTGTCAAGACATCCCAAAGAGACTCTCTAGAGTGGTTCCGAGTGGCCATAAAAGTCTCTTCAAAGAGATCAAAATGTGAGATAATTAATAAATTGGATGAAGTCTACTGAGTTTGTACAAATTATGCTAGATGTCACCGACTGCCAAAAGAGGTTCACGTCCACTTTGCATGAAAAAAAGTGAGGGATATAATATATAAGATGACAAGAGACAAGCCAATGTCTTATAGAGGAAAAGAGATTACCACATTAAAGCAAATCTCAAAAAGAGTACATGAACAGCGGAGAGGATATCATTTCTTAGCAGCATGACTCAACAAGAATAACATACTATTTAGATGGATAACACTGGAGGGAATGTTGATATCGTGGCAAGGAAAAAAAATCAAGATAATACCTTAGAGAAAGCGCAAGACTTCTACAACCAACTGGGAGGCACAGAAGAAATGGGCAGTAGTAGAGAAGAACTAGAATCAGCTAGCCAAGAAGATCAACAATTGGAAAGGAAAGAACAAGAACAAGAAGGAGAAAGAGGAAGAGAAGAAGGAGAACCATAAGAACAAGAGCACAAACAGAGGCAAGGAACAATAGAAACTAGCGAGTAGCAGCAAAGAAGAGGAATGGAAAGTAATTTGAAAATACTATCCGTAAATATAAACAGACTTAATTCTTTAACAAAACAAAATTAAATCTTCACGAAATTAGTAAAAAACAATGGACATAATATGCCTACAAGAGGTACACATCAGAACTCAAGATGAAAAGTACTTACAATATAAAAAATTAGGAAAACTCTATGTGGCCCTAGCAGAAGAAAAAAAAAGGGGGATTGTAATCTATGTAAGAGAAGGAATAAAAGCAGAAATATTATATGCAGACTTAGTAGGTAGAACATTAATGTTAGAAGTGTCTTGGGAACAAAGGAAATTATTATTAATTGTACTGTATGCACCCAATAACCAACAAGAAAATTACTATAAACACATTCATGAGAAAATTTTAGAATTAGGTAAAGAAAATATTTCTATGATGGGAGACTATTATGCAGTTGTGGATAGGAAAAGAGATTATCACAGTACTCATTAAACGAAAAAGAAAAAGAACACAAAAATATTCTTTAATATGCTAGAAGAGCAAAATTTAACAGATATTTGGAGAGCACACAACCCAAAAGAAAATCAGTTCACCTTTTATTCTTTCCCCACAAATCGTGGTCGAGAATTGACATGGCCTGGACAAGTAAAACTTTAGTAAATGATATAGAATCAGTAGAAATAGCACCAAATGTGTGGGCAGATCACAACCCAATAATAACATGGGAAGGTCAACAAAAATGAAGAGGGAGATGGATGTTGGACCCACAAATTCTGAGAGAAAAGGAATATTTAGAAAGGGTTAAAAAAGAAATGGAAATATTTTTTGAAATAAATACAAAAGAAGATACATCTTTACAGAATTTGTGGGATACGAAAGCATATCTAAAAGGATAGCATATAATGGTAAAAGGAAAAAAGAAAAAGAGAAAAAAATAATGAACTACAGAAGGAGATTAGAACCTTGGAAATACAGGTACAAGTAACACCGGGGAATGATCAACTCATAGGTAAATATAGGCTAACAAAACACAGATTTAATATACTAGAACAAGAAAAAATCTTAAGGGCTTTGAAATTGGTAAAATAGAATTATTTTGAAAATGATAACAAGCTGTGAAGGTGTCTTGCCTATAGATTAAGGAAGTAAAAAGAAAAAAAAGATGGATTCAGCAATTACAAGATGAGGGAATTGTACAAATGATATGGAGAAAAAAAAAGAATTAGCATTGGAATTTTTTAGGGAACTATATAGGCAAGAAGAAATTAGGGATGAGAAAATAAAATATTATTTAGAGGAAGAAAATACCCCAGCCTTAACAGAAGAAGAAAGTGAAAAATTGAATGGAGAGATTACCAAAGAGGAATTAAGAGAGGCAATTCAAAAACAAAAAAATAATAAAACTCCCAGAACAGATGGCCTACCAGGAGAAATATACAAAAGTCTAGGAGATTTATTTGGCCCAATACTTTTAGAAATTTATAATGACATATTAGCAAAGGCAAGACTACCAATGTGGAGAGAAGCGTACATTATGCTAATACCGAAGGAGGTTGCAGATACCACACAGATTAAGAATTGCAGACCAATCTCTTTACTGAATACCGATTACAAAATATTTATGAGTATAATGGCCGAAAGAATGAAAAGAATAATGAGTAATAAGATACACCCCGACCAAAATGGTTTCCTACCATTAAGACAAATAAAAAACAACGCAAGGACTGTAATAGATGTACTGGAGTATTATGAGGCACACTCAGAAAAACAAATTGTATTATTTTTTTTAGATGCCCAAAAAGCATTCAATAAAGTTAATTGGCAATTTATTACCCACCAGGCAAAGAAGATGAAATTTGGAGATAGATTCAAAAAAATGATAGAGTCAATATACTCAAAACAAAATGCCCATATAATAATGGAGAAGCTACAAATTCATTTAAGATAGAAAAAGGAGTCCGACAGGGATGTCCACTTTCACCTCTGCTCTTTATTATGTCATTAGAAATTTTGTTAAGAATTCGATCAAATCAGGAAATAAAAGAATTAAAAATTAAATAAGAAGAATACAAGGTTCAAGCCTTTGTGGATGACCTTGTATTTTTTGTAGAAGAACCAATAGAATCAGGACCAAATTTAATTAGAGAGATAGAGAAATATGGGGAAGTGGCCGGTTTAACAATTAATAAAGAAAAAGCTAAAATGATAACAAAAAAATTAACAGACAGTCAAAAAAAGAAATTAGTTGAAGTAATGGGCTTACAAATTGTCAAAAAAAAATTAAGTATTTAGGAATTTGGCTCACAGCAAGATGTTCAAAAATTAAAGAGGATAATTATATAAGGTTAGTACAAGAAATAAAATGAGATCTAGGAAAATGGGGGAAGATACAGTTATCAATGTTAGGGAAAATCGCGATTATTAAAATGAACATTCTACCAAGATTATTATTTATCTTTCAAACGATTCCTGTAAAATTAGATATATATTTTTTTAGTGAATTAAATAAAATGACTACAAAATTTGTGTGGGCAGGAAAAAGAGTGAGGATTAAATTGACGGCACTACAAGATAATAGAGGTAGAGGTGGATTTGGACTACCTGCCTGGGAAATATATTACAAAGCGGCAGTCTCAGTGTGGATTAAAGATTGGGTTAATTTGTGGAACAAAAGATTATTAATTTTAGAAGGACATGATCTGCAGGCAGGGTGGCATGCCTTCATCTGGGAACCCAGGAGATAAGACTTATACTCTTTAATAGATATGTGATTTGAAATTCATTAATGAGAATATGTTGTGAAATTAAACACAAACACTACATGAAAATTCCAGGATGGGTTTCCATCATGGAGGCAATGATACACCCTAATGCATTAGAAACTGGAAATAGGATTATATATTATGATGTTTTGGACTCTAAAGGAATATTGAAAACAAACCAAGAACTTAGGGATCAAGGGGTGAAGATAGACTGGTGGCCATACTTACAGCTTAAATCAAGGTATAAAAAAGACACCCAAGAAATGGTATAGATATAAAATCGAACCAATTGAATAAACTCTTACAGGGAACAGATGAAAAAGCAATCTCTAAAATCTATAACTATTTACTAGAATTTGATTTGGCAGAGGAAACAGGGCCCAATGATAGCATGGGCGAGGAATGTAGGACATAACATTAATTTGGAAGATTGGGAACAAATTTGGAAGCAAAATTATAAACTAACAAAATCGGTGGTCTATAAGGAGAACCAATATAAAATGTGCTATCGGTGGTATCTGGCACCCTCCAGACTGGCCAATATGTATCCAAATTTAAGTCCATCTCATGCCCCTGGTGGAGTCTGACTCTGAGGAAGAGGAGGAACAGCCAACAGGGAGTGGGAGTGTGGCTCCAGAGGTGGTGGAGGAGGCTGGGGAAGGGCAGAGGCCGGCTGAGAGGAGGATCCAGGCCCATCCCCTATCCATCCTATGTCACGCAGGGAGGAGAGGATCAGGGAAAAGTGAGGTCTACTCAAGAGGAGATTACCGTGATCCTCCTCGTGGCTTGCAGGTGGGAGTTATGTATATAAGTTTTCAACTATGTAGTTAGAATTGCTGGAGTCAATTAGTGTTTACCTTGAAAGGGGTTTATCTTTGCTGGCGTTCTTCCCATGGACTTTTCTCGGTTATTTTCCTGGAGTTTATGATTAGTTATCTCATCTGGCTTCAGAACTCTCATCAGTGCGGTTTGTTTTGGTTTTCTGTTTGCCTCATTATTTACTTTTGTGACTTTAAACTGTGCCTAATAAAACAGTGAAGTTAAGTTGAAGGCCTTACCGGACTTTAATATATGTTTTGGGTTATTTTGAGAGACTATGGGTCATCACAGTCCACTTTGTTGGAAATGTAAAAAAACAAAGGGTACCTTCTTCCACGCTTGGTGGCTATGCCCGAAGAGTAAAAAATATTGGGAAAAAATATGAACATGGATACAGGTGAAACTCGAAAAATTAGAATATCATGCAAAAGTTCATTTATTTCAGTAATGCAACTTAATAGGTGAAACTAAGATATGAGATAGACCATTACATGCAAAGCAAGATAGTTCAAGCCGTGATGTGTCATAATTGAGATGATTATGGCTTACAGCTCATGAAAACCCCAAATCCACAGTCTCAGAAAATTAGAATATTACATGCAATCAATAAAACAAGGATTGTACATAGAACAATATCGGACCTCTGAAAAGTATAAGCATGTATATGTACTCATATGGTTTGGGCCTCTTTTGCAGCAATTACTGCCTCAATGCAGTGTGGCATGGAAGCTATCAGCCTGTGGCACTGCTGAGGTGTTATGGAAGACCAATAGTGGCCTTCAGCTTTGTTCGGTCTCATGTCTCTCATCTTTCTCTTGGCAATGCCCCATAGATTCTCTATGGGGTTCAGGTCAGGCGAGTTTGCTGGCCAATCAAGCACAGTAATCCCATGGTCATTGAACCAGGTTTTGGTGCTTTTGGCAGTGTGGGCAGGTGCCAAATCCTGCTGAAAAATGAAATCCCCATCCCCATAAAGCTTGTCTGTGGAAGGAAGCATGAAGTGCTCCAAAATCTCCTGGTAGATGGCTGTGTTGACCCTGGACTTAATGCAGCACAGTGGACCAACACCAGCAGATGACATGGCTCCCCAAATCAACACAGACTGTGGAAACTTCACATTGGACTTCAAGCATCTTGCAGTGTGTGCCTCTCCATTCTTCCTCCAGACTCTGGGTCCTTGGTTTCCAAATGAGACGCAAAAGTTGCTCTCATCAGAAAAGAGGACTTTGGACCACTGAGCAATAGACCAGTTCTGTTTTTCTTTAGCCCAGGTAAGATGCTTCTGACGTTGTTTGTTGTTCAGGAGTGGCTTGACAAGAGGAATACGACATTTGAAGCCCATGTCCAGGATCCGTCTGTGTGTGCTGGCTCTTGATGCACTGACTCCAGCCTCAGTCCACTCCTTGTGAAAGTCCCCAACACTTTTGAATGGCCTTTTCCTGATAATCCTCTCTAGGCTGCGGTCATCCCTGCTGCTTGTGCACTTTTTTCTTCCACACTTTTCCCTTCCATATAACTTGCTGTTAATGTGCTTTGATACAGCACTTTGGGAACATCCAACTTCTTTTGCAATTACCTTTTGAGGCTTTCCCTCCTTATGGGGGGTGTCAATGATGGTTTTCTGCACAACTGTCAGGTCAGCAGTCTTTCCCATGATTGTGATTCCTACTGAACCAGACTGAGAGACCATTTAAAGGCTCAGGAACTCTTTGCAGGTGTTATGGCTTAATTAGCTAATTAGCGTGGAATACTTTGAGCCTAGAATACTGAACCTGTTCACAATATTCTGATTTTCTGAGATTGTGGATTTGGGGTTTTCATGAGCTGTAAGCCATAATCATCTCAATTATGGCACATCACGGCTTGAACTATCTTGCTTTGCATGTAATGAGTATATCTCATATATTAGGTTCACCTTTTAAGTTGCATTACTGAAATAAATGAACTTTTGCACGATATTCTAATTTTTCAAGTTTCACCTGTACAAGAAATAATAAATATTCAATTGGAATTTAAGGCTGAAATCTTTTTGTTGGGAATAATAAAAGGTGAATTCGCAAAAAAAAACAAAATACTTAATTTTACATATAATCACTGCAGCAAGAATAGCACTAGCACAATGTTGGAAGGGTGATCAAATGCCAATGGATACTTTGATAATTCAGAAGACTATACAGAAATGGACAAACTCACTCAAAAGTTAAAGGATAAGGAAGACTCAAAATATTTTACAGTTTGGGAAAACTGGTATAATTGGATAAAAATAGAAACCAGCAAGTGAATAGATAGGGAAGAGAAAATATATAGAGGTTATAATAGGAGTATTAACCAGATAGAGGAAATAAACATTAGAAAACAGTCTCATAGGAATACACCGTTTAAGCAATTAGAAATGTATATGTACATGTTTTGTGTTTATTGGATATGTTCTTTCATCTTGGTTTTGTTCTTAACTAAATGTATTGTAATGTGTAAATATTTTTTAATGTTTAATAAAGTTTATTTTTAAATTTTTTAAAAAAAGTCGATGTGGGATTATGCACCAACGACATGAGAAAGCCTCAGGACACCAAACAGAGAGATCAACCAGACCCAGCTGACAGGGAACCATAGCACCACAACTGTCCCCAAAACCAACCCTCCCACGAAGCCCAATTAAATGCTACAGATGTGGGGGAATGGGCTACATGGCAATGGCGTGCACAACCCCAGCCCCGAAACCAAAGCCAGAGCCACCACCCAGGGCATGACTGGAACAAGGCCTGAGACGTACCACCAACAAGCCCCACAAGGCCCTTCAGGCTGCAGAGGTCCCTCCCCACCCAGCTGAAGGGGGGAAAACCCTAGGTAACAATGACTACTCATCAGATTCCTATGACAGCAACGACGAGGGCGAAAACGACCCAATGGTGAGTGAACCAGTCCCCCCTTTTGTCTTCCCAATATGACTCACAGCCCGAAAAACAGGGACTCAGGGGACTTTCCAAGTCCTAGACTCAGGCTGCATTAGATGTCTGATCAACCTAAGCATGGTTCTGAACTGGGAATTAGAGCGAAAATGTTGGCCCACCCAATCTGGTTCGAACAGGTTCTAGGTCCCTATTGGGAGGGGCCCATGCCACTCACTTAACCAAACCAGTGAGACTAGAGCTGGCAGATCATTGGGAAACAATTCAATTTGTAGTGGCCCCCAATATAACAGATGCAGTCATACTGGGACTCTCCTGGCTAGACAAGTGGGGCCCGACTATCTGGTGGTAGGGGGGCAGCCACAGACTGAGGATAGCAAGGGGACCCCAACCCCCTCCTCACCAGCAAATAGAAGCACCACCCACACAGGGAACCCTCTCAGAGAGCCCTCCTGAACAATTAGCAGCCACCTCTGACAAAACCCCAGAGGCCGAACAGATCCCAACGGAATATCAGGACCTCACAGAGATGTTCAGCAAGACTGAATGTGACATCCATACAAATCATTCCTGGAGCAAAACTACCAAAGCCTAAACTGTATGCCATGACGCCCCGGGAAATGCAAGAAATGTGCAAATACATAGAGAAAAACTCAGCAAGAGGGTTCATTGAGTCAACCAAGCCATGGGTCACAGCCCCAGTCCTGTTCAAAGAGAAAAAAGATGGCACCATGAGATTATGTGTGAACTTTAGAGCTATAAATGGTCTGTGTGTACACAATCTATACCTCCTCCCAATCATGAAGGGCATGCTATCTCACGTGGCCAAGGGGAAGGTCTTTTCCAAATTAGACCTCAGAGAAGCATACTACTGAGTCCGCATCAGGAAGGGAGATGAATGGAAAACTGTGTTCAACTGCCCCCTAGGGAGCTTTAATTCAAAATCATGCCTTTCGGACTACAGGACCCGCCGGTGGTGTTCATGCAGTTAATAAATGAGGTGCTACATGAGCACCTCTATAAGGGGGTCCTTGTTTACCTGCATGATATTTTCATCTACACTGAGACCATGGAGGAGCACATACCCCTAATCCGCCAGGTACTGGAAAAACTTCTAGTGGCAAACCTGTATGTCAAACTGTTGAAATGCGAATTTCACTGTGCACGGTTAGACTACCTGGGTTACCAAGTCTCAAGTGAGGGCATAAAGATGGACCCAGCCAAAGTACAAGCCATCCTAGGCTGGCAGCCCCCTCTCATCCACAGACAGCTACAAAATTTCTTGGGGTTTGCAAACTTCTAATCGGCAGTTCATCCCCTCCTTTGCAAGGATTGCCAAACCCCTGACAGACCTCCTAAAGACAGGGAGCCCAGGAACGAAATCTCACCTGGGACAACCCCTACAATGGGACCTAACCTGCCAAAAAGCATTTGAAACACTGAAAGAACTGTTTGCAAAAGAACCAGTGCTAAAGCATCCTGACCCTGAACAACCCTTCGTCATTCAAGTGGATGCCAGTGAGGTGGCAGTGGGACCAGTGTTACTCCAAAGAAATAACCAAAGAAGCCTACAAACCTGCACCTACACCTCCCATAAGCTCACAGACACGGAGAGGTGATGGTGTTAGGAATGATAGTCACCAAACAGTTGGGTTGGCAATACATAAACCAGGATAGTCATTTGATACTGTATCTTTAAGAGAATGCTGTAATTGTGATTGGCTGAGGTTCCTCCAACGGCCATAAGATGGAGCCAGAAACCTGGTTTCTTTCTCCTTGCATTTCCTGTTTTTCTGTATCACAAGAAGTAAAACCTACATTTTACTATTCAGTGTATCTGTATGCTGGTCATGTGTTATTCAACATCACTCTCACTACGTTTCCCTGAATGTACTCATTCTCCTAACGGAATACTTCAACACTGGTTATAGGCCCAGGCTCAGATAACTGAGAGTTAGTGTGAATACACAGTATTGTATATAGACAGCTGTTTACTGTTTAATTGTGGGTTACTGTCCTGGTAAAGATGGCACAACACCCGTCAACAATAACCCAGTTGGATGGAACAAACTATGTTTCCTCGTCTATGAAGTGCAGTCTACTTCTGCGTAGGGAAGGGTTAAGGGCTGCAGTTCAAGATCCACTGGATGTAAATGCTTGGGATCCAAATGATGAGGATGATGCCAAAAAGTTAGCTGACTTTAAACGGAACAATGAACAAGCTCTTCGTATAATTGGACTAACACTGATTGACCAGCAGCTAGTCCATATTCGTGGAGAAGAGTCTGCTGCTAGGTGTTGGGAGAATTTTAAGAGGATTTATGTTCGTGAATGTGTAGGTGCACACATACATCTTACACGTAAACTGTTTAGAGCAGGTCTTCTGAAAGGTGAAGATATGTTAGCTCATTTGAACTTCATGAAAAGAACTTTTCAAGAGCTAAATGAAAAGGAACTTTCAGAGCTGCATCAAGTTTACATCATTCTTTCCTCGTTGGATGAAAGTTATGATGATTACATATCTTCACTGGAAGTCCTGACCAGAAATGAACTGACATTGACTGACATAACCGGACGATTGTTGGAAGAGGCAAGAAGAAGGCTGGAAAGAGACCAACTGAGAGAAAAACAACCACAAGAAGAGGATTTGTTTTCAACTGCCTATACTGTTAGGAAATGTTTTTCTTGTGGAGCTAGGGACATATACCTAGATTCTGTAAGAAGGGAGAAAATACTGGTAATCACCAGAAGGCTAAGAAGAATGTTAATTTAGCTATGTCTAGCAATTCAACTGTAAACCATGATTTGTGGGTAGTTGATAGTGGAGCATCGCAGTGCATTACTAGAAATAGAGGTTTGTAAAGATGTCCACAAGTAAGCAACATGTATCACTGGCAAATGGATGGAAGATGAAAGCATCTGGTGAAGGTACTGCATATTGTTCATGTGTAAATGAACATTTATCTATGTTATATGTACTTAAACTGAAATTTAATTTGTTATCAGTAAGGGCTTTAGTTTTTAGGTAAAATGTTCATTTACTTTTTAGGTAAAAGTGTTACTGTTACTTTAGAGAATGATTTATATGTTATACATGATGACCAATTGCAGATGGCTAACTCGGTTTATAACAATGTTAAGCCACATGACGAATGTATACATTTACTGCATAGATGTCTAGGGCACATTAATTTCAAAATGCTGAAACTGTTGAATTGTCAGAGGGAGTAAAATTAAAACCTTGTAGCAAGTATTTAAACTGTAATGCCTGTAACCAGAAGAAAAGCAAGGTTACCCCAGCAAACAGACTGAATGGGTTTAAGACCAAAGAACCTTTAGAGATTGTGTTTGCTGACATAATTGGTCCTAAGAAACCCAGTTTGGGAGGTGTCTGCTATGTTTTGAGTATAATGGACCATTATTCATGGTACGGTTTCTGCTATCTCATGAAAAACAAAACAAACATTCCAATATTTCCTTAATTGGCTAAGGTTTGCAGAAAGAAAAATGAAACATAAGGTAATTACTGTAGTTACAGATAAGAGGACTGAGTTTATTAACACTAGACTCCAAATAATGTTAAAATTGGCTGGTGTCGAGCATAAATGTTCTGCACCTTACAGGCCACAACATAACTCATTTATAGAATGAAGAGGGCAAATGTTACAAGCCATGGCTCGCACTATGTTATCTGATTCAGATTTGCCTGAAACACTGGGGTGAGGCCATAATGTGTAGCAACCATGTGTTAAACAATGTGGTTAACACAACAACTGGTGAATTGCCATTCGCTCATTGGCATGGCAGAAAACCAAATTTAAGTTATCTTCATACATTTGGAGCTCCAGCATGGGTGCATATTCCCTCACAAGTAAGACTGAAAGGGCAACATAGCGCTAGGAAATTAATTTTCATAGATTACAAGGCCAACCATAGATCTTTTAGATTCTGGGATCCAGGCACAGCTAATGTTTACTGTAGCGCTAGTGCTAAATTTCTTGAGCACGTTGGGTGGAATAAACTAGAACAGGAATTTAACAATGATGTTGTTATCGACACCCAAGTAGTCCCTAATGATGAGATAGTTAAACCATCAATAGCAATTAGGAAGAACAGGCACAGGAGGAGGTACAAAAACAGGAGCAGGTGGAACAGGAGAGTCCACCAGTAAGCCCTGAGTTGCCTAGATGTTCAACCCGTGTAACATGACCAACAGATAGATATCAGGCTAGTATTGTATGCCAAGTAAATACAGTTCCTAATAACTATAATGAACTGAAACTGTATCCTGCTAAGGATCAGGCTGCTTGGCAGGAGGCAATGGATAAGGAACTGAAATCTTTACAAAGTTTGGAGGTATATGAAAATGTCACGTTACCACCTGGTAAGCCTGCCATAGGGTGTAAGTGGATTTATAAAATTAAGACAGGTGTCGATGGGACTGTTACCCATAAAGCCAGGTTAGTAGCACAAGAGTTTGATCAGTCAGCCAATGACTATGATGAGGTGTTTGCACCTAGTCTGAAAGCTACCACATTACGAGCAGCATTAGTGTGGGCAGTTAAGAATAAATACACAATAAACCATTTGGATGTGGAGACGGCATATCTTCATGCACCGTTGCAACATACTATATATTTAAAGAAAACTTTGGGTATAAAAACTGATAACAAAACTGATTGCTGGAGATTACAAAAGAGTCTTTATGGCTTGAAGCAATCAGGCTATGAATGGAATCAGTGCATAGTACAGGAATTAACTAAGATAGGTTTTATAGCTGGCATGGCTGATCCATGTTTGTTCAAAAAGGAAAGTGATGGTGTAGTTTCATTGTTGCTATGGTTCACTGACGACATTGCATTAATCACTAAGACTGAGCAAGAAGCTACTGAGATTATTTCACTGTTAGAGAAGAAATTCAAAATAAAACATTTAGGAGAGATTAAACAGTATCTTGGTTTAAAAATAGAAAAACCCCTACAATGGGACCTAACCTGCCAAAAAGCATTTGAAACACTGAAAGAACTGTTTGCAAAAGAACCAGTGCTGAAGCATCCTGACCCCAAACAACCCTTCGTCATTCAAGTGGATGCCAGTGAGGTGGCAGTGGGACCAGTGTTACTCCGAAGAAATAACCAAAGAAGCCTACAAACCTGCACCTACACCTCCCATAAGCTCACAGACACGGAGAGGTGATGGTGTTAGGAATGATAGTCACCTAACAGTTGGGTTGGCAATATGTAAACCAGGATAGTCATTTAGTACTGTATCTTTAAGAGAATGCTGTAATTGTGATTGGCTGAGGTTCCTCCAACTGCCATAAGATGGAGCCAGAAACCTGGTTTCTTTCTCCTTGCATTTCCTGTTTTGCTGTATTGCCTGATCGTCGTTCTGCTTGGATTGTTGTGAGTTTTGCAACTCTTAGCAAACTCCGTTTACTGAACTTTGTTTATAATACTTGACTTCGTTTTTTGATTATCCCTGGACTGATATTAACTGCTTTAACTGTGTATGATTTGGACTGTTCGTTGGACTTTGTTTACCCGTTTACTAGAAGCAAAACCTACATTTTACTATTCAGTGTATCTGTATGCTGGTCATGTATTATTCAACATCACTCTCACTACGTTTCCCTGAGTGCACTCATTCTCCTAACAGGGAATACCTCAACAGATGGGCTGCATGGGAAAAAGAGGCTTTCGTGGGGAGATGGGCATGGCAAACCTGGCGCCACCTGCTGGAAGGGGGCAGAGACCATTCAAAGTCTTGACCGACCATAAAAATCTGGAGGCCCTTAGGACTCCGTAAAAACTATCACCCAAACAAGTCCGCTGGGCTCAATACTTTTAACTGATTCAACTTTGTGCTAAAACACAAGCTTTCTGGCTGACGTCCTCTCCCGGATGCCCCAGTACAAATGCGAATGGGAGGAGGTCATGAACGCCATCATCTCCTCTACCCAAATAGCTGCCCAAGTAACCACGAGATGACAACGCCATGACTGGCAAGACCAACCCGCAAGTGACCTAACCACGAAACTCAAACGTGAACTGCTAGCAGACCCCTTGGTCATAGGAGGCAAACCCATTATGACAGTGATCCCCAACCTTTCTTATGCTGCGGCCCGGTATCCCCAACCTTTTTTATGGTGCGGCCCGGTACCGGCATTAGCTGGGCGCTGCCATCTTTTTTTGATGAAAAAGTGCTTCCAGTGACCTCACCGGAAGCACTTTTTCATCAAAAAAAGATGGCGGCACCAGCGCTTCCGGTGAGCTTTTCCGGGTAGAAATGGCTCTACCTGGAAAAGCTCACCGTAAGCGCTGGCGTCGCCATCTTTTTTTGATGAAAAAGTGCTTCCGGTGAGCTTTCTACCCGGAAAAGCTCACCGGAAGCACTTTTTCATCAAAAAAAGATGGCGGCGCCCAGCAAACCAGCGGCCCGGTAGGACTTGTTCCACGGACCGGTACCGGTCCACGGACCGGTGGTTGGGGACCCCTGCATTATGAGGTGCAACGAATCCTTGATTCGAGGTGGCACAGGAGACAATGCCAATACTTAATCAAGTGGAAAGGCTACCCCCTATCAGAGGCGTCTTGGGTAAAGAGTAGGAATGTCCAGGCTTATCGCCTTAAGCAAGATTCCATGCAGAAAATCCAACCAAGCATGGAGGAGGGGGTCGCAACCCTAAATTCTATATCTGCACTGAACTTGTTTTTGCTCTGCACAGGTCGCTTTCAAGAAGTGAGGGGAGCAGAATGTCAGCTTGTAAAACATTCCTACACTGGTTTCCAAGTTGGCATAAAAAAGGGGGGGGCAAAGGACTTGAGAAGCATATGGCAAATGAACTTAGAAGCACATTCCAACTTTACGTTAAAAAAGATTGTAGCTAAGCACTGAAGCTTTTGCCCACAAATAACTTTAATTGGAGAATGTGATGGATGACACCTACCCCGTGTATGTGCGTAATTGGAGAAACTGATTTATGGCACACCCGGGGGGGAGGGGGAAGCAGGGTCACAGGTGACTGTAATTACATATGCCAGAATCAGCTTCGTACAGGTCATGCCAGTATGTCATTTCTAATGAATTCTTTGAAGTTTTTTGAAGTTTGGCTCAAGGCTTGTGATATAATTAGGACAATTGCTGGAATCCTGACAGGAACTTTTATTCGGAGACAATGATAGCAGAGGGAGTGTATGCAGAATCTGAATTTCCTGTGCCAGAACATTAGGTTAAACTGCTTCTTTCGAGGCCCCTCCCAATAGCCAGTTCAACTGTGAGCCAATCCAAAGGTGCGAACATGTTGTGAGAACTTCTGGCTGAGAAGGTGATAACAAGCAGTTCTCAGGTGCCACGATCTCATTCCTCTGGCATTGAGACAAAACATATGGTCCCAGGCACATTCTTTCCCCTTCTCGTTTCCCCAAAAGGTACATCAAAGCAGAAAAAGAATAAAGGAAAACCCCATGTGAAAGCATCCCCAAGTCTCCATCCTGCTGCCAGAATGGCAGCATCCTGATAGAGATCTATGGGACCTGACATGCTGCACCCCGAAAAAGGGAGAATTCAACCTGGAGACAAAGAAAATAACAAAGAAGAGAGAAAATAATAGGAACAATTAGGTTTCTCAGGGTAAAGTTGGTGGAAACATTTAATTAATTTTGGGGCTCTAATGTGCTTTTTATGAACCCATTTTTTGTGGTAAGGGGAGGTCCTTCCATGCTACTAGATACTGGTGGTCCCATGGTGTTTCCTTCAATCTAGCATTTCTTTAATTTCAAAATGTTGTTCGACCTCTACCATGATAACTTGTGGCAGAGAGGGAGCCACAGGCCTTAAAGGTGAGGTCACTTCTGGTTTCAGTAGGCTGCAGTGGAAGATTGGGTGGACTTAGATAATTGCAATTCTACTCTGACCAGATTTATGATGCGAGTGATGGGGAAAGGCCCTATGAACTTTGGTCAGGCATTTTGCCGACCAGTGGGAGGAATCCACTTCGGATGCCTGGGTCAGGGACTCCGTTCGTTTTGGCCTCGCTCTGCAGTTCCACTCTTCTCCCCCTGAACATTTCAGAATTTCACCCATCTCTAGAGATCCCACTAAGCGGGCCCTTATGGCTTCCGCTATCAAACATCTGTCTGATATTAGGGCCATCCAACCTGTACCGCCCTCACAACGGGGAAGGGGTTTCTATTCCCTCTTGTTCTTGGTGCCTAAGCATTCCGGGGGTTGGAGACCCATTTTGGATCTTAAGAGGCTCAATCGTTATATCATACGCCATAAATTCAAAATGCATACTCTTCAGTCAATTTTGCAGGGCATCAGAGAAGGAGACTGGCTTACATCTGTTGACCTCTCTGAGGCTTACCTCCATATCCCCATCCGTCCCTCGTATTCCAAGTATTTGAGGTTTTGCTATAACAATCAGCATTTCCAGTATGTAGCCCTTCCCTTTGGCCTCGTCTCGGCCCCGAGGTCCTTTACTAAGGTGTTGGCAGCTCTGGCGGCCCACCTTAGACAGGTTCCCATCCGCATTCACTGTTACCTTGACGATATCCTTATTGTATCCCCTTCCCGGCATCAGGCCGAGAGTGATACTAACACTACTCTCGCGGTGATTCAGGCTCATGGCTTCTTAGTGAACTGGGAGAAGAATCAGCTTAGCCCTTCCACCCGTATAGCCCACCTAGGGGCTGTGATTGATTCTGTTAAAGGGAAGGTCTCCCTCTCTCAGGAGAGGCTCAACAGTATCCATACAGCTATCAGGGCTATCAGACGAACTGGAAGAGCATCTTTGCTCAATTTATCCAAACTACTTGGGAAGCTGGTTTCTTGCATATCTATTATCCCATGGGCTCGCTTACATTCCAGATCCTTGCAGTGGTTCCTCCTGCCATACCAGCGTTCAGGAAGGAGCACATCAGGCCTCGTGGTGAAAGTGCCTCCAAGGGTCCTCACCTCCCTCCTATGGTGGACACGACCCTCTACCAACAGAGGGCATCTATTCAAGGAGCCCCAAAGGGTCACTCTCACAACAGACGCAAGCCTTTCCGGATGGGGGGCCCACCTGCAGTCTCTGTCGGCCCAGGGAGTTTGGACTCCTACGGAGCGAAGTCGCAGCATCAACTGGTTGGAGCTTCGCGCAGTGTACCTGGCCCTGCGAGCTTTCCTTCCTCAGATGAGAGGGTGCCATATCCTGGTCCTAATGGACAACACTACAACCAAGGCCCACATCAACCGTCAAGGGGGCACCCATTCCATCCTACTCATGAGGGAGGCCGAGCAGCTGTGTCGGTGGGCAGAGGCACACCTTTCATCCATCAGAGCGGAGCACATTTCAGGAACCTCCAACGTCCAAGCAGACTGGCTGAGCAGAGCCACACTGGACCAAGCAGAGTGGCGTCTACACCCGCACCTGTTCAGGGAGGCAGCAGCCATGTTCGGTCAGCCTCTGGTAGACCTGTTTGCATCTCCGCTCAACGCGCAAACACCAAGGTTCTTCTCTCGTTACCCCTCCAACGGGGCAGAGAATCACGATGCACTGCGTTGCCCTTGGCCTCCCGGGCTTCTGTACGCCTTCCCTCCACTTCCGTTGATCCCCAGAGTGATTCGGAAATTGATATTCGAGAGGGCAGAGATCCTCATGGTGGCACCATATTGGCCCAGGAGACCGTGGTTTGCGGACCTTCGCAGTCTGTCGGTAGCTCCGCCGTGGAGGATCCCGCTAGACCAAATCTCTCTGTCACAGGGCCCTCTGCTTCATCCAGACCCACAGTGGCTTCAGTTAGCCGTCTGGACGTTGAGTGGGAAAGGCTGATTGAGGAGGGTTTGTCAGCCCAGGTCATTAACACCATTCTAGCTGCTAGGCGGCCTTCTACTACTCGCATTTATGATGCAACCTGGAGCAGTTTCTGTAAGTGGTGCCATAAATCCTTCATCAATCCACGTTCTCCTTCAATTGCGCAGATCCTGGCCTTTCTACAAGACGGCCTAGATGGGGGCCTCTCACCCAACACTTTGAGAAGACAGGTCACGGCCCTATCAACGGTGGTTGCTGGCGGCTCCTCTGGCCCTCTTTCCCACCACCCTCGAATTAAGGCCTTTCTTAAAGGGGCTTCCAATTTGCGCCCGCCAGTGGTGCACAGATACCCGACATGGGACCTTAACAAGGTTCTCATCGCCTTGACTAAACCTCCCTTTGAGTCTCTCAGGGAGGCGCCACTTCAATTTCTCACCTTTAAAGTGGTATTTCTTGTGGCAATAACCTCGGCTAGAAGGATATCTGAAATAGCAGCTCTATCCGTGAGAAAGGACCTGTGCATTTTTCACTCTGATCGGGTGGTTCTGAGACCAGACCCTGCCTTTCTACCAAAAATCAACTCAGCATTCCACAGGGCACAGGAGTTGGTCCTACCTAATTTCTGTCCAAAGCCTTTGCATGAAAGAGAAAGACAGCGGCACACCCTCGATGTTCGAAGGGCTCTACGTATTTACATCTCGCATGCAGTCCATCAGGAGATCAGAGTCTCTGTTTCTGTCCTTTCAGCCAAAGACGCTGGGCTGTAAGGTATCCCCGTCCACGGTGGGCCGATGGATTAGAGCTACCATATCCAAGGCCTATTTAGTTCAAGCTCTTCCGGTCCCCAGTGGGATAACCGCCCATTCCACCAGAAGTGCAGCTACTTCGGTAGCCTGGGCTACTCAGGCTTCTATTCTTGACATTTGCCGGGCGGCCACCTGGGCTTCCCCGTCTCCCTTTATACGCCACTATAAAATTGATACTTACGCTTCAGCTGAGGCATCCTTTGGCAGGCGAATCCTGCAGCAAGTGGCGAGAGAACCTAAGGAGATTCCGACCCAGACGGAGTCCCGCCCGTAGGACAGACATGCTTTGGTATGTCCCAATCTCTGGATGCTCGCAGCAGTTCTACGGAGAATGGGCGTTGGTTCTTACCTGATACGCCTCATCTCGTGGAACTGCATAGAGCATCCAGCCCCGCCCTAATTGGTCCGTCTGGTGGGGAATCCTGTTTCGGCCAATGATCTTTATTGTATATAGTTGAGATTTGTATAATAGTTAAGGTTAGAGGATTGTTGCTGTCCTCTCGTCTTCGTTAAAACTGGGGGAACGCATGGAGGAGTCACGTGGAGGAGGAGGAGCGTTCCTCAATTATAGCTCAGCCTGTGAGAAGTGAAGACTGGAGCACCTCCCACTCTCTGGATGCTCTACGCAGTTCCACGAGAAGAGGCATATCAGGTAAGAACCAACGCCCATTCTCACTAAAATATAAGATTGTCATTCAGGTAAACTAGGACTCCCTTATACAGATGTTCATGTAGCACCTCATTGATCAGCTGCATAAATACTGCAGGACCCTTGAAGTCCAAAAGGCATGGAATTGGAAAGCCGTTTTCCATTCATCTCCTTCTCTTATGCGGACTCAGTAATAGGCTTCTCTTAAATCCAGCTTAGTAAAATCTTGCCTTTTGACAATCTAGCAAGTCCTTCATTAGGGGTAGAGAGTATGTATTTTGTACACCCCCCATTGATCCCCCTGAAATCCATGCATAATCTAAGCCCCCCATCTTTCTTTTCTTTAAATAATACTGGGGCTGCTACTTTTGATTTTGCTGTCTCAGTGAATTCCCTGGCTAAATTAGTATCAATGTACTTTCTCAGTTCAGTCATTTGAGCATGTGTCATTGAGTACATTTTTTGTTTTGGCAGTTTGGCCCCAGGTTCTATTTTGATGGCACAATCAGTGGCTCGATAGGGGTGGGGAGGGGATATTGCATTCCTCCTTACTAAATACTTCGGCTAAGTCTTTATATTCCTTAGGAACCGGGGTCTTGCCTAGAGGTGAATCTGAAGCGGTAGCTGCTGGTTCTGGTGGCTGGCTCACGTTGAGAGGCAGCTGCTTGCCAGGGGGAACGGGGAAGTGGCCCCACCCCAATTATGATTTTTCGGAATCCATCTTCCCACTTAATGATAGAGGCCCACTTGTCTAGCCAGGCCAGACCCAGAATGACAGCTTCTGACATTTTTGATGCCACTACAAATCGAATAAGTTCACAATGTCTTCCCATCTCTAATCTGACCAGTTTCATAACTTGGGTGGCTGGTAGTTTCCCCAATCAAAGTTCCATCCACCTGTTCCAATCTAATTAGGCGTTTTAGGGCTCTAGTCTTTATCCCTAATTGTTCAACAATTGGAAGCCCAATTAAACATCGGGTACATTCTGTATTAATTACTGCTTCTAATTCTCCTTGCTCCCCAGTCTCAGGTACCATCAACCTCACTTTAATTGTAAAAGGGGGGATGGCTGCACTTACCATCGGGTCCTCTTCCTTGCTAGCCTCTCCAGAAGATCCTTCCTTGGCTAGAGGTTCTTTGTGTTTTTCTGTGGGGAGGAGAACCTCTACGGCTTGTCTGGCAAATTGGCTGGTGTCTGGGGGCTTTCATAGAGCTCTTCTGCCTCTGGCAGCTGCAGCTGGCCACTGTTGTGGAACTGGTGCAGGAGCTAAGCATTCAGAAGACTGATGACCCGTTCGGCAACAATGATAGCATTTGATAATCCATGTGGGCTGAATTGGAGCAGCTTCTGCAGGTTTAGTTAAGGGGTGCCTAGCCAAAGTGCTCCTCAGAGGCTTCTCAGATGAGAGCTTATTGCGGTGTTGGTGTGTCAGAGTATATTGGCAGAGACATGGTTAACAAAGTAAGCATGGCAACAGACCAGCCCAATGGGAGCTGACAGCCTGGGTGTGATTTGGCTCTGTGTGCTTTGCTGAGAACTGAAACTGAAACTTGATATCTGTTCTGAGCTCTCTGAGCTGCTGCTTGTGTTTTTTGCTTATGTTAACATTGAAAGAATCTACAAATGGTATTGTAAACTTTACTCATATTAGTATAAAGAAGTAAATGATCCTGCAGAAACAGTCATCTCTGTGTTTTCTGGGCTTGAATTTATGGTGCAAACTCTAACAGTGAATTTCTGTCCAGAGCTATGGACCTGGTATTCCAGTCTAGTAATCGCTCTGGAATCCCTCGGACACCGCAGGCTTTTTTGACTTTTTGATCAATGGCTTCTTGGAAATAGTGCAGAAGGATTCTATCAGGCCAATGCCCCAGGTTTCCTATGACCTGTCTAAAGTAATAAACAAAGTCTTTTATGGGTCTATTACCTTTTATGGGCCTATTCATCACTTTCAGCGCGGCTTCATTTTCATTGACTCGGTCTGGGTCTTCAAATCTGGCCCAGAATAGTGCAACAAATCCATCAGCATCATTTAATTCAGGAGCCGCCTCATTGTGTAGCTGGGCTATCCAGTCAGAAGCATCTCCTTCATTCATGCCTTCTGAAATCACCAATACTAGATTGCACTCTGTTTCGTGTTCTCCATATGTGAGCCCAGATCCTGCTGAGGAAGTAAGCCAGTTTTGCAGGTTTTCCATCAAACGTCGCATTAATTGTGATGGCATTGGCCTCGCTGGGGGTGCAAGCTGTCCAGCTGGCAGAATGGCCATAGTGGCTGGCGATGGGATAAGGATCTGCTGCTCCCCTGCTGCTGGCGGCAGAGCAGGGACCTGCAGCTACACTAAAGGAGGTGCTGCTCCCAGTTGCTGGATCAGACCCTGTTGTTGCACAGGGACCGTTGGGGCAATTTGGCCCCATAGTGGTCCTGGAAATGGTGGTGCAAAAGATGCTGGCGTCCATTGACACTGAATCCACCCATGACTGAGATAGAAACCCCAACCAGGGGGGATGCATTCAGCAGGGAGTAGCATGAAAGCAGGTTGGTGAGGTGGGGCAACTGGATGTTGCGGCATTCCAAATGCTGGTTGCATTTGCTGGCTTCCACTTGCAGCTTGCCCTTGTTGCCCCAAACAGATTCCTCTGTCATGTCTGGCTGAATAAAAAAATGCCAGGTAACACTAGCTCCACTGCCAGGTCCTGAATCAGAAAAAGTGAATGTGGATTGCATTAAGCTTCATCTCAGCTGAGGAGGTTGGGAACGTGGGACTTCCCACTTTGAGCCTCTCAAACCATTCCGGTAGTCTGGTCAATGATTGGCTTCGAGACAGAGGAAGCAGGTTCCAGTCTTGGGAGCTGTCGGACTCCAAGGTTCTTACATCTCTCCATTCTGGATCATGGGTTCAGTGGTGGGTTTCAAATTTTTTTACTACTGGTTCTGGCTTGCTTAGTGGGCGTGGCTTGGTGGTCATGTGACTGGGCGGACGTGGCTTGGTCATGACTGGGTGGGTGTGGCTTGGTGGTCATGTGACTGGGTGGGTGTGGCCAACTCAATGTCACTCACATCAAGGGGTGCCTCACCTGACCCCTCCCCTCCCAGCCATTCCTTGTCATACCCAGCCTCAACATATCTATAGTTCTATAAAAAATTTCACCTTTTTTTGACTTTATTATGTACATATTATAGATGTACTTTCATGGACCATTGAAAGAAGGAAATGTGATAGGCAACAAGCTTTTAAGGGGCTGCCAGAAAGAGGGGGGGGCAATGTATTTTCCAAAGCATCAGAAGGCAAACAAGAAGCAATGGATGGAAACTTAAAGAGAGAAGCAACCTAAAACTAAGGAGAAATCTCCTGACAGTGGAACTGCTTGTCTCCAGAAGTTCTGGGTGCTCAATCACTGGAAGTTTTTAAGAAAAGACTGGACAGCCATTTCTCTGAAATGGTATAGGGTTCACCCCAAGGTCCCTTCTAAGTGTTATTCTGAACCTTTCCCAGGACCTCTACTCAGATTTTGGCCTCCTCAGTTTTCCTGCCTGAGCAGGGGGTTGGATTAGAAGACCTCCAAAGTCCCTTTCAACTCTGTTAAACATGCGTATTTATGCTCTGGACTATAGACATTGAATGCATGTAAACCCTGAAAAATATGTGGTAGCCCTGGGCAAAAGAAAGGCAGTAAAATCACTCTAGATGTAGAGACAGTGTAAAATATTAATATATGATAAATAATGGAACAATTAAAATAATAGCACAGAGTTCTCTCTCTCTCTCCCATCCTTCCTATTTCTGTTTCTTCCTTCCTTTCTCTTTCTTTCCCTCTTTCTTTCTTTCCCTCTTTCTGTCTGTCTTTCTTTGTCTCTCTCTCTCTCTCTCTCTCACACACCACACACACACTCTCTCTATTTTTCTTTCTTTCTTACTCTTTTTCTTTCTTTCTCTCCCTTCCTCTTCCTTTATTTCTTTTTCCTGTCTCTCTCTCTCACTCACACACACACACACGCACGCACACACACACACACTCCCTTCCTATTTCTTTTCCTTTCTTCCTTTCTCTTCCTTTCTCTTTCTTTCTTCCTCTTTCTATCTCTTTCTTTCTCTCCCTTCCTCTTTCTTTTTTCTTTATTCTTTCTTTCTTTCTTCCCCCCCCCCACCACACTCTCTGTCACACACACACCTGGTCTGGGACGAACTGATCAAGCGAGCTCCAGAGCAGCGGGCAGTGGGAGAATGAAGAAAGTGAGCAGGACATCTGTCCGCTCTCCAGTTCGGAGCACTCAGCTGCCGCACACTTCTTCTGGGGGATGAAAGGAAGTGAGCGGCGGTGGCAGTGGCAGCACTGCTGCGTGAGGCAGCCCCGGGAGTCCCCACCTTCCCGGTTGGAGCACCTCCATCATCGCTCACTTCTTCCAGGGGACGAAAGGAAGCAAGTGGCGGCGACCCCAGGACATCTTCCTGCCCTCCCAGAGAACTGCACCATGGCCACCACGTGGTAGGGAGAGCTGGGAGAGTGCCACGTGGTGGCTTAGCCAGCCAACTGAGCCTGGGGATGGTAGGGGGAGCATCTAGCTAGGTTGCAGCCAGCGCTGCTGCCTGGATGGAGCCACACCTATGGGGAAGCCAGCCAGCCGAGCCCAGGGACGGGGGGCAGAGAACTGACAAGATCCAGGAATGGTGGGCAGAGGCCTGGCAAGATCCGGGAATGGTGGGGGAGGCTAACGCGACTCGCAGGCTTAGCTGTGAGCAGGCAGATCAAGGCTGCTCAATTGGGGTGCAGGCACCACGTGGTAAGGCAGGTTAAAGGCAAGCCATGAGGACCCAGTGTGCCACATAGGTGAAGAAGTGACTGGGCGGGGCGGCGCAAGTGAGCGATTGGCGACCAGGTGACCAGGGCGGGGGTGGGGCCAGAAAGAAGTCACTACCAATTTGGTGACCCACGCCAAATCACTACCAGTTCGCCTGAACCAGTGCAAACTGGCTGAATACCACCACTGCATGGGTTGACTTCACTGGGCTGGAATCTGAATGATTTTCTGGTGGCCTTTGTTCCGGTCCCATCTCAGGAGTTGGATCAGACTGGCAACTTTTCCAGGAATCCATCTCCTTGGGCCAAGTGCTTAGCCTCCATTCATTTTCTGCAGCTTCAATGACTCACACCACTTCCTCAGAAGGGGAATACCAGGACTCAATGAGTTCCCTAGGATCTGTCCCCACAGCTCCTTCTACTATTTCTTCTTTCTCCTCCATCTTCACTAAGTCTTCATACCGCCCAATAATCAGGTCGGCACTGGGGCTCAGGACCCCGTACAGCCCCCTCCTGGGGTTCTGCTTTCAAGTCAGGGATTTGGGTTAATGTCAGCATTCCAGAAAAACCCAGCTCCAACGAAAAACTCCGAGACAGACATTTTCTCAAAAGTTCCTTTTATTAGAGTAGGTATACTGGCACATCTGGGAAAACCCAACTCTGAGAGTTCCGTGTTTTCCCTCAGTAATTCAAAAAGACCAACCAAACCCCCGCACCCATCAGTCCATCACATGGTCCAATCACATTCCGTCCCAACTTGAGACATCCCTTCAATTACGCCTCTTCCAGGTGCAGGAACAACCTGACCTTGACCGACAAGAAGAATGCTATTATGTCTAACTACATACACTCTACTAAATCCTCCCTCCCAAATTCCCAAGGTCAAGAATGTGGCAACGTGGAAGCTTCTGGTTCTAATATGGCTTCTAAAGCTGACAAGTACACAGGAACCCCTTATATGCTCATGCAGCACCTCATTGATGACTTGCATGAAGACCGCAGAGGCTCCTTGGAGCTCAAATGGCATTACTTTGAATTGGAAGCTCCCTAGTGGGCAGTTAAATGCAGTTTTCCATTCATCCCCCTCTTTTATCCTCACTCTGTAGTATGCCTCACTCACATCTAGCTTATTCACCCCTGGTATAACTCCCTGACATCAACTGGGACACAAACCTAACAGTCAACTTTGTCTCCCAAAAATTAGAAAAAGGAACTAGGAGATCAGCCATCATGCAATATTGGTATTCAACATTATGCAAGCATAAGCAATAGAACAAAGTCAAACTAGAGTGTTGGACTGTAACAGAGCTCATTTCAATAAACTTTGAGAAAGCTTTGAAAGGATTCCATGGATGAGAATTGTCAAGGGAAAAACAACCAAAGAAGCTTGGGAAACTTTGAAAATTGAGGTTATAAAAGCCCAATCTAGCACAATACCAATGAAGGAAAAAAACAGATTTCAAAAGTAACCAGCATAATTGCTTAAAGAACTCTCTGATAAATTGAAAGACAAAAAGGACAATGTCAGAGTATATTCATGAACAGGAATAAAGCTTGGTAACAAGCTCAGCCAATGAATAGGCATAGCAATTAAGTCAGCCGATGAGGACTGTTTTGGAAAGTGAAACTGGAAGTAGCCTAGGCGTGGCAGCTATGTTAAACTCTGCAGCTATGTTTAGCTCTGAAGCTGTCTATTGAAAATGAAACTGCTTCTCTCCTCTGCTGTGTGTAATGCTTGCCTGCTGAACTAAAGTGAAACTGATGTCTGTTTCATATCTCCTGAGTTGCTGCTGAAGCTCTGCACTTGTAACATCTCTACTTCTGTCTGAGTTTGCTCCATGTTGGAGAAATCTACAACTGGTTTGTAAAATCTACTTATTATGTTTATAAAGATGTTAAATGAAGCATCAGCCATCTGTGTTTATTTTTCAGGCCCTAAATTAACACTGCAAAACTCTGAATAGACAAGTATAAAAAGATGGAAAGAGGGGCACATAACTAAGGCAGAATCTATAAATAGCCCGAGCCTGCAAAGATGAAGTAAGGAAAGCTAAGGCTCAAAATAAATTAAGGATTGCAACAAAAGTCAAAAGTAACAAAAAAAAAAGCTGCTTTCAACATGTAAAAAAACAAGAAGAAAGTCAAGAAAATGACAAGCTGGCACAAATAGCCAACACTCCAGAAGATAGGCTGAAGATACAGAAGGATCTTAGTGGAGAAGGACAGACTTGAACATTGGGCTCTATCTAATAAAATGGAATTAAGTGATGAAAAAAGTAAGGTCTTTACGGTTCTCCGAACTACTCAAAATTTCTGCTACCGGTTCTCCAGAACTGGTCAGAACCTGCTGAATACCACCTCTTGTCCCACTCGGTCTCCATTGATAAGCAAGGACTGGATGTCTGATCTATTTCTTCTATAGTCCACAAAAAGCTCCCTGGTTTTATTGGTGTTAAGGACCAAGTTATTGTCTTCACACCATGAAAGCAACTGGTCCACTTCATCTCAATAGGCAATTCAATTCCCCCCCCCCCCCGAGACGAGTTCCACCACTGTTGTATCATCTGCAAATTTAATAATAGTATTACTGGCGTAAGTGGGAATGCAGTCATGCACATAAAGAATATAGAGTAAGGGACTTAACAGTCAACCCTGTGGTGTACCAATGTTAAGAACAAGGTCTGAAGAGAGATGTTTACCTAATCTTCACCTAATTTGTGGTCAGACAGGAAATCCACAATCCAAAGGCAGATTGAATAAGAAAGCCCAAGATCCATAAGTTTAGACACTATTCTATATGGAAGAATTGTGTTCAATACAGAGCTAAAATCTACAAAAAGCATCCTCACATAGCCTGTCCACCCCCACCCATTGTTCCAAACCAGTCAGAGCAGTGTGAAGAGTGATGGCTATAGCATCCTCTGTAGATCTATTTGTTCTGTATGCAAACTGGTGTTCATCAAATGTATGCAGAAGACCAGAAATGATGTGCTAGCAGACCAATTTCTCAAAGCACTTCATGATGATAGGAGTGAGTGCCACTGGTCTGTAATCATTGAGGTTATTGATAGGGAACTTCTTTGGCAGCGGAACAGTGGTGGAAGCCTTCAAACAAGATGGAATAGTGGACTGAGATAAGGTTGGCATGCTAGGTTACAGAATTCCTCAGGGTACTCCACTACCACTCTATGGTCTTGATGATGATGCAAGCAGGAGTCCAAGTGAGCGAGGCCACCCTGCTGGTGATCACATGGCTGAACGTGCATCTGGGGAAGCCTAACCTGACAGAGATGAAGGAGGAAGCAGCAATCGGGGGAAAACCCTTCCTCACAGCAGACAAATTCTGGTGGAGGAGGGTCCCCGGAGCAGTGCAATTCAAACTCCCCCTGGAGGCACCCATGTACACCCCAGCCTCGCAGTGGAGGGAAAGGAGAGCAGTACACTGGGATGAGCCAAGGGAGTAGAAATATTTGACCGTGCTTTGGAACTCTTTGGTAGAGCAGCTGAGAGCATGGTTTGACCACACGAGCGCATCCGGGGTGTGGAACAGCGGGGACAAGCTCCAGGAGAAGCCCCCAATCCTCACCAGTGGTAGCGACAAGGATAAGTCCCAGCCCCAGCCAGGGGCCCCAGCAGCCACAAGGAGTGGTCAGCCCAGCCCCTCCCCTATGGCCCTCTAATGTGCCAGACATAACAATAAGTCTCCTGAGAACCAAGGCCAAATCAGTGTGTCCAGCAATAGCAGGAGGGAGTGCTGAGAAATTCATCACCTGCTTGGTTGGCTAACGTGACCTGTGGCATGATAGGGGTGGACAGTATCTATTCTTTAATTATACCAAAAACACAGGAATTATTCAGTGGTAGCTTTAACTTTGACTGTGCCAATATGATGTACCCAATAAACCAGATTTTTGAGGAAGCCAAGGCCTCAGAATCATGAATTGGTTGGGAGCATTACTTGGAACCATGACAAGGACCTACCCCAGCTGGTCCCTCAGGAAAGCAAAACTCTTGACTCCTTTGGATTGAATCCTTTGGATTGAATCAAAGAAACTTTTACTGAGAGAAATGGTTGCAGTAAAGTCAGGTAGAATCTGAAGGTCCCACACAAGCACAAAACAATTCTTCTGTTTCCCCAACCTCAACCTCAAGTCCACTGGCAGCCAATGTATGCCACAAGGTTGTTTTGAGAATGCTAAGGTGCTAGGCAGATAACATTCATTCTTGGGGCACAGCGGCCTTGGAACCAGGCTGGAACAGGCTGGGAGGGAGTCCTCTCCATCTCCAAAGACAGTCCTCTCCCTAATTCCCAGGCAGCTACAGCAAAAAGATGCAAAAAATGCCAGCCTAACCCTAACCCCATCCAATAGAATGACAGAACACAATGGTGGACCTGACATTTTTATTTTTCTATAATGATTTGTTATTTTTAAAATGTTATAAGAATCATCCTACTCTGAATGAAAGAGTAGATAGCATTTGTAAAGCAAGGAACTGAAATGCTAGACATTTTCGAGTGCCCATAATCCTGAAAGGCTGATGCCCTCGTGAAATATGTAGGACCTTCAAGTTTTGATTTAGTGTTGAATGAAATGAAGCACTTGCTTGAAGCAAATTATAATTTCCAATATCTTTGTAGCCTAATTCTTGGCATTTTTCTATTTTAGCATGACAGGAAGCCTTACTGTCACAAACCTTGTTATGCAACGCTGTTTGGACCAAAAGGTATGTGTCCCTTCCTGGTAAGTTGGCAATTTAGTTCAAGATTGGTAAATTGCAGTCACTCTTTTTTACTCCCTCTCAACTTCTTGTTCTGAACTAAGTTCTTCAAACCAGCCAAAGGAGTCTAGTTTTGTGTGGCTGGAAAATTGTAGTTCTCTCTGTTGTTACAAAATTTGCCTGTTTATGATATGCCCTATATCTGATTTAGTGTTTAATGAACAAAACAGTGCAGACAAATCATACAAGAAAAGTATTGTGAGAAGACGTAATATAGAATAAAGTCATAAGGAAAGAAAGGAAGAGGGAGTATTCAGCTTTTTTCTTCCTTCTGCCACTTTTTCTGATAGAACTGTCCCAGTCTTCTCCCTCCCATAATGTTCTGAATGTATGTGTTTTCTCACAAATGTGCATGAAGTATTTTTGCCATTGTTTACCTTCTGGTTACTTCCAATGTATGAATTAAATGAAAAGTTAAAGGACTTTGTTTCTTACAGTGACAAAATGATATTCCAAGTAATTATGTTATTAAAATGTTATTAAAAGACAGGCACTTAGCTTTATAGAGATAACCCTTAAATATTGATGGAGAAAAATAGCATCCACATTTCTTAAAAACAGATTGCTTGCTTTTATACAGTAAGAGAATAGAGAGGTTGTTGAAATCTTCTTGTAAGAATAAACTATAATTGCTGAAAAGAACATTTTTGTTTCTCAACCCATCTCTACTGTCACATCAATTGTGATTATAGGCAGAAAATTTTGTTGGTGATTGCAAAGATGTTGGTCACTACAATGCAAAAATGTTTTGAGATTCTAGAAAGAGTGCAGAGAAGAGCAACAAAGATGATCAGGGACATTAAGGCTTATGATGAATGGTTGCAGGAACTGGGTATGTCTAGTCTATCAAAGGGATAGGGTTGATATAATAGCAGTCCTCCAATATTTGAGGGGCTGTCACAGAGAAGAGGGGATCAGCCTATTCTCCAAAGCATCTGAAGGCAGGACAAAAAGTTACAGATGAAAACTGACTTCCGGTTTGAGCTTCTTTGGAGATGGACCAAAATCCGTGATCATGCACGGTTTTGATCCGTGCTCGCCGCCGGAGTACCCCGAGCCGGCTGGATTCGGGGCTAAGCTACCCCATAGAGGTGGTGAAGAGGGGGGAGACTGCCAGCAGGGTCGAGGAGAGCTGCATCTCTCCTCCCCAGCTGGCCATTACTCCCTTTCCTGAAGGCAGTTGCAGCAGTGGTCAGAAATGGCCACCTCAAAGAAGAGCTCAACCAGAAAAGAATGTGCAGGAGGAAGATAAGAAGAGAAAGTTTTGGTTGACCGGGCTGAACTGAAAAAGCAACAATATAAGGTACCCTGGAATTTGAACTATAAAGAATAGCATTGTTCCCAAAGAAGATTTTGAAACAGCGAAGGAGAGGGAAGGGAAAGGATTTGGCTTTTTTTTTTTCTTTCCTTCCTAATATTGACAGTTAAGAGATTTAAGTAAGAAACTGACAAAAATCCACTTTGACATCAATAGGCATTCAAGCTGAAAATAAAATGTCAAAGGGATAACAAAGACTTTTGGATATTCAAAAACCTTTAAAAGAATGAAAGGAGAAAAAAGGAAAAAAATAAAAGGGCGGGATCTGGAAAAATGGAGGAGACTGCCTGGAAGTAAAAGGAATTTACAGCAAGAGTTCAAGAAGATTCCTAAAAGATACATTCTAACTGAAACTTTGTAACAAGATAATAGAACCCCAGGAAGAGAAAGTGGAAAAAAAGAAGCAAGAAGAAACAGTTTTGGGTTATTTGGATTACTTGGTGATTTTTGGATTTTTGGTTATTGGATTTAAATGACTAAAATCAATCGGGTGGTTGTTTAAAAGTGTTTAAAATGGCATCAATCTTGGAAGAACTGAAAATGGAACTTAAAAAAACAGAAAGAAGATGCACAAGAAGGAAGAGGCTTTTTTGGCTTCGTATTTCAATTTTTAGAAATGGAGATCTGGAACTATGAGAAACAACAAGAAATACTTGTAGAACAAGAAGGGCGGGACAAAGAAGAAGCCATCTTTAATGACCAAGTAATTTTAAGTGGGGGGAAAAAAGTAAAGAGGTGAAAGAGTGAAAAGTTTAAAATTTGAAAAAACCATCAAAAAAAGAATAGTTTGAAAAGTAATTACAATACTAGGAAGAAACAGAAGAGAGGATTACAGAAGAGAGAATTAGAATTAGAGAGACAAGGGGTCAAAAAGGGGAGGGAGAAGAAGAGGGGGAAGAAGGAAAGGAAAAGAAGTTATAAAGGACAGAAACAAGATATAGAGAAACAGGGAAAACGTACAAGGATTAAAGGTATAAGCCTATTTAGAAGACATAGAGATAATGGGTGAAAATTTAAAAGTTAAGTGTTATATCGAATGTTATAATTGTAAAATCATAAATTGAAGTTTAAATAAGAGTTGAATGGAACAAAATTAAAAGATACAAAGGTGTCATACTCCAATTAGTAACTACAGGGGAAAACTTGTTTAATGAGAAAAGAAAATATGAAATTGAAACAGGACAAACAAAAGTATAAATATAATGATTAGAAAGATATTGAAACTTAGAAAAAGATACATAATTGAATTTAGATAGGTATGAGATAATTAAAAACAAAGTTGAGAAAACTAAGGGAGGGGAAAAATTATGGAGAAAATGTTAAAATAGTAATAAGAGATGGAATAGAACACAAAGACGAATATGAAATTGAATTTGTGTCTGTATGGAGAAGTGATAACCCGGGATCATACTATTCTCAAAAAAAAGATGTTTTATTTGTATTATGTTTTGTGAAAACCCAAATAAAATTTATTTTTTAAAAAAGTTACAGATGGAAACTTATCAAAGAGAAACTAATGGCTTACCTCCAGAAATTATGGCTGTTCCATTACTGGGGGGTTTCAAGAAAAAATTGGATAACCATGGGTTCAGAATGGTATAGGATCTCCTGCTTAAGAAGGGGGTTGGACTAGAAGAACACCAAGATCCCTTTCAACTCTATTCTGTATTCTATTTTGTATTAGGAAGCAGAGAAAAGGTATTAACACTGAAAAGTAAAAAGAATGTTTTGGGAGGGAAAGAGAGATTTCTTTAACCTTTGAGATTAAAAAAATGATGTAATGAGCCATTGATAAAAAGAAGAGTAATCAACATTGCTCATGACTTCACTTGATTTTATCAAAATATGGAAATATGGCTGATAACTTCTGGCATCAGAAGCTTTTAATATCAGATTTCTTTTCCTGCTCAATTTTCAGGTGTAAATATTGGAGGAGCAGGATCCTACATTTATGATAAGCCTCTTTCTGAAGGACAGCTTATACCAGGCCCTATTGAGCATGCATCCAAAATGGAAGAAAGGAAACTGAATATTGCACCAAAAGGACCTAGCAAAGGTAAACAGTAAAATAGAAGCCTGAAAATGCTTTAGGCTCAGACCTATTACAGTGTTGCATTACAAGTATTGCCTCTTTTGAGTGTACATACAACACTGTAACACATAGAAAGAGAGCATGAGTTGAATTGCAACACTGGGATGCTGCTTTTATCATTCTGAATCTGCTAGCAAGATCTTGTAGAATCAAGAGAACAACCAAGGGACATCATTATCAATGTTTTTCTTCTTTAGTTACTGGAAAACTTTATAGAAGATAAAACAATTTTTGATATGAACATTGTAAGACTGACTTTGAAACAGATTTCTATACAAATCATGAACATGTGATTGCTAAAATGTATAAGCTTCTACTAAAATTTGAAACAGAACAAATTAACGTATATATGATAAAATGAGCTAAAATTTCAGGTTATAATATACAGTTAAAATATGCAGTTGAAAGGACTGAAATAGTATGTTATTATCTTAAAGATATTTTTTGCAAAATGACGTACCATTAGTATATGACACAGGAAAATATAAAGGCATTTCAAATTAATGTTGGAAATATGAATTACAAAAAGAGCCATTTTATCATGTTTGGTAGATGTGCAAAAAATCTAGAAAATATTGGATTCAAAAACAGCAAGTCAGAGGATTTTAAAGTTAACATTCAAATGAAATCAGAACTTTTGGGAGTGATGTATAAGCAGTTGGAAAAAGTCATTGTTTTATATAGATTATTAATATAGATTATTGATGCACAAAGATGAAAAGATTTGACAATATCTCTGACAGAAAAAAGATTTGGTGAAGAAGACAGAACATGCTGAAATGGCCAAACTGATTTGTCTGATTAGCAAAAAGACAGTATCTACATTTATTGGTGTCTAGAAACCCCTTATGACTTTTAATATACAAATAAAAATAAAACACTTATGATTTATGATGGTTTTGATGATTAGAACATAGAATGAGGAGTCACAATATAACTTTAGATAGACAAGTTAATTTATAATCTTACTTCTTTACTGCTGTAAAGAAGATTGGAAGCCACTTTATATATATTTTTTCTTTTTTACTTTTCTGCTACACTTTTTCTTTTTGCACGTTTAGGTTTTCTTTCTCTTTTTCCTTTTTTTTTTCTTTTCCTGTATTTTAATTTGTATTAGTCTTATTCTTGTGTTTAAAATAAAAATATGAAAAATAGCAAAATCTTGCAAATGTACAAGCAGATACATCTGCTTTTTCTTTTTGTGCATTCTTTTATAAAGGATGAGCAAATAGTTTGTTCAGTTGAGATTTACTTTCTAAAGCTATCTTTCATCTTTGTTTTGCTGATCCTTGTAATATCTTACAGAAGAGCTGTTTCTGGAGAGCAGAAATAGACAGCGTCACCCTTTATGAATCTCCTGTGTACTATGAAAAAACATGTTTTTTCTTTATTGTGAAAAGGAAGTTATCCAGGTACTAGTCAAAGCAGGGTCTAATATGCCTCCAGGCATATAGCATGGATAAAGGGACTTAGAACCCCTCCCCTTATGCTGATGTGGATTTAGTCAATACAAAGAAGCAACATGTTAATTCCCCCCCCCCGCCTTTTCTGAGAAAGTAGCTTAGAAAAGTTTCCCAGGAAGTTTCTTTCAGAGCTGGAATTTTTATGGCCCCTTCTCCTCTTGCTATCTCTCCAAGAGGTGACAAGTTTCCAGGCATCTGGGCTCCAGACACCAGTTGTATATCATGTGCAAGTTATACAGATTCAGTACAAGACTTAAGATATTCAGGTTACATCAAAAAGGATTACTTGTACCACCACCACCCTTTCTTCTTCCATTGAAGAATGGCAGATACACGGATCTGACATATTGCCCTCCTCAAAAAATTGAGAAATCCACCTGGAAGACATAAAACATGTGTTACATTTACAACTTAGGATGGTTTGTGAGGGTATTTCAAGTGGAACTTCCATAGTAATGTGGGTGCTTTTACAGGTCGTTTGGCTTACCCACTCATTTTCTGAGGAAGGTGGTGTTTCCAAGCTACTAAATATTGTGTGGATCCACAGTGAGTGCGTGAATCAACAATATCTTTAATTTCAAAATGTTGTTCCCCATGTACCATAATGGGAGTTGGAGGTGTGGAAAGGGGGGGGTCTAAGTTTTGAAGTGATCTCTGGTTTGAGTAGGCTACAGTGAAATACTGGATGAACCTGTCTAAGTGTCTTGAGGAGTAGAAGGTCTACAGTAACATGATTGATAATTCTGGAGATGGAAAATGGGCCAATGAATTTTGGTCCCAGTTTCTTAGAGGGTTGCAACGATTTTAGGAACTTTGTAGACAAATATATGCGGTCCCCAACTTTGAATGGTTTAGGATCACAGCGTTTTTCGTCCGCTTGAGCTTTAAAAGCTGCTCTAGCCTGGAGAACTTCTGGTTTGTCGGCTTCGCCAGCGGCAGGGATTCGCGATCCTGCCCGATCCCTGCAGTGCTAGCCGTCTTGGTGCCTCCGATCCTGACGGATCTGGAGGCTAAGGCTGCCCTGCAGAGGCAGCCGAAGACAGGGGGGAGCTGGTGAGGGGTTTGGGGGTGTTGCAGTCCCCCTCCCCAGCCGGCAAAACCCCCTTTTCTCAAGGCAGTCGAGCGGCGGTCTGTAATGGCCGTCACAAAGAAGCCGGCAGCTGGGTAAGACTGAGCAGGAGGAAGAGGGGAGAAAGTTTCCAAGAGAAAGTTTTTTTGGCTGACCCAGGACTTTAAGAGACGTCTAATCCTGAAAACTATGACCTTGAATGATACTTTGTTTCCAGAGGAGAATTTCAAGCGGCAAAACTGAGGTGCTGAAAGGGAAAGTTTACTCTCCTTCCCTATGGAATCAACAAATTGCTATTGAGAAACCTGTTGTCTTTTATAAAAGGCTTCTTGTTATAAGTGGGCTTCTTGTTATAAGTGGGAAGGGAGAGGATATATAAAGATTTTGCTGGAGGAGATGTCTTGAAGATTTTGAGACTAAGAATTAATTGCAACAAGGCTCTAAAATACAGATTGGGCTTTTTTCCTTTTCCTTTTTACTGATAGCACCCCAAAGAGAAAGTGAGAACTTTGTGCTTTGTCTGGACTGATTGATGTCTCTGGGACTTTGGGGAATTGTTTTAACTTTTGAAACATCTTGGTTTCTTTAAGAAGAAGAACAAAGAAAAGATTTATAATGGCTTTACCTGTTGATGAACTTAGAAAGGAATATGAGAAAAGAAAAAGAAAGAAAGGACGCTGTGAAAGAAGCCTTCCTTTTTTTAGAAATGGCGCTTGCTATTTATCAGCAAACACAACAACAGATGGAAGAAATAGAAGAAGAAGAAGAAGAAGAAGAAGAAGAAGAAGAAGAAGAAGAAG